AACATCTATTTGCATCAAATTGTGCTTGCTTTTGAGTTATATCATGTTTTATCAGCCTGAAATTTACTGCAATTTAAAAAGAAAACATATCTTCACAATAGGAGAGCGCTGACGCTGACACGGGACAAGTTTAATCTAGAAATTTTTGAAGGAGAGAAAGGAGTATGACGATCAAGGAGGCCATAAACGCGCCCTACAATTGTAGGGACGACTGACGATACGGGCCTAAAACCTATAAACATTGCAAAGGTTCCTGACAGCCTGATAACAAATGTTAAATTCATCCCTCGAGTACCAGACACCCAATTCTGACAATTCCCAGCTCACTCTGCTAATGCAGTTTGCTTTATAGACAAATAAATTTTATGCTTCTCCATAACTGTGGAAATGTTCTCAACACGAAAGCGCATCTGCCATAAAGTGCCATACTAAGTGCAGTTAGTCGTAAATTTTTAAGTATGAACAAAGTACAGAGGCAGAAAAATTCGTTGCTGCACATTAGTCTGACAAAACTAGCTTCTTCATCCATTATAATAACCACACCACGGACTTTTATTTTTTGAGTTACAACCCCGTAACAACCAAGAACATTCCATTAGGTAACGGGCATTTCTGCCTTGAAGGAAAATTTCTACTAATATTAAAAATGAGAGACTGTGATTGTTTGTTACTCAATCACGCCAAAATCGCTGAACGGATCTGGCTGAAATTTGGTACAGAGACAGATTGTTGTCTGGAATAGCAAATGAGCTTCCTTTTATACCAGGAAATAACTATGAAATGTTTTGCGAGCTCCCAATTTATCTTCGAGTATTTGGGCATCATCTAAACTTCCTAAAACCTATAAACATTGCAAAGGTTCCTGATAGCCTGATAACAAATGTTAAATTCATCCCTCAAGTACCAGACACCCAATTCTGACAATTCCCAGCTCACTCTGCTAATGCAGTTTGCTTTATAGACAAATAAATTTTATGCTTCTCCATAACTGTGGAAATGTTCTCAACACGAAAGCGCGTCTGCCATAAAGTGCCATACTAAGTGCAGTTAGTCGTAAATTTTTAAGTATGAACAAAGTACAGAGGCAGAAAAATTCGTTGCTGCACATTAGTCTGACAAAACTAGCTTCTTCATCCATTATAATAACCACACCACGGACTTTTATTTTTTGAGTTACAACCCCGTAACAACCAAGAACATTCCATTAGGGAATTTCTGCCTTGAAGGAAAATCTCTACTAATATTAAAAATGAGATAGTCTGAATGTTTGTTATTCAATCACGGCTGAATGGATCTGGCTGAAATTTGGTACAGATATAGATTATATTCTGGAATAGCACATAAGCTTTTTATCCAAGAAAATGTCTGTTTCGCGGGCTACAGTCCAAACGGCTTAATAGAATTTGAAATAAGGTATCTAGCGCGGAGGCACTCAGTCGCTAGTCCGACTGAAATGACTAAAGGTATATAAACAGGGCATTGACATTCTGCGTTTCCTGCACTTCGACAGTCGTTTTCGTAGCGTGATCGTGATTTAAATGTGTTTGGTGTTTTGTTCCACATCAAGTATAATCTTTTTGTTGGCTGGGTTCTATTGTAATTATATTGTAGAAAGGTTGTACTTCTGTATGCTTATAGGTTTAAAGTACTATTATTCCTGGTTGGGTGTTAGTTCGCCCCGTTGGCATTAAAAATCTTGATCGATCACTACCAAATAATTTATTGATTTGCTACTTGTTTTATCTTAGGTATACCTTGCAAGTATTATAAATCGCAAATTAGTGAAAGTTGTGTGCTTTGTGTTATATTGTAACTCGTGGTTAGACTAGTCATAGTTATCTGCTTAAATTGTTATAATCTGTGTGATTTATTATCGCTTGGTAATGGCAAATCAATCTTTCACAAAGGGGAATATATGTAACTCGGGTCGTGACAGTAGCCCTCGAAAAATCTATACAAATAATACAACAAATAACGGTGTTTATCAAAATGTCTTACCATGAATGATAAATCAAAGGACAACTATACGTACAATAATTGTTACATTACTCTACCCTGTGAATTATAGCATTTCTTTCTCCGAAACCGATGCCCTTCACACTAATGCAAAGTGATTAACCTATTCTTTACAATACTTACAGCGGTTAAGGCCTAATTTCACCAACAACAGTCCGTTATTCTCCACCTATAGCTTAACAGACTGTCAGAGACAGCGAATGAGCTTCAAGTTCCAATCAACAAATTTTAGCAACTAATAGCTATGAAATGTTGAAAACAAAATACTGTCAAAGTATGAGATGACAACTTGTCATTGAAACATCACCAGCTTATTGAATATTAAGAAATTACATATAATTCAGTCAAAATTTTAAGAAATGTTTGATTTTTGAATTAAATTCATGTTTTAATTTCTATTGTTGATTTTTTATTCATGTTTATAATATTTTCTTCAATTGATATGTGATACTGGGTGTTTTTTACTATAAACCTCTTGCAGATAGCCATTGAGCACCTACCTCCATCCATAAAGTTGAATATTTTTCGTTGTTCAGGAACTGAACAAACATCCACACTACATTCACAGCGATTAATAAATTCCCAAATATATGCCTTAAAGCTACCATCAAACCTAAAACCTGCAAAAAAACTACAAATATGCCATATTTTTCTTTTTTCACGAGTACACATTCTAGGTTATATTTATATTAGACATTATTTGAATACAGCTGATTATTGCATTTCAAGGAGTGACACATGTGTGGGATCTGTCAACTCTTGGTACCAGTCACAAAACATATTATACTCTGAAGGCCTAATTCCATGCTATTCAATGTGCAAAACGGTATTTGTGTGGTTATCAGCGGCCATTTTGTGAGGGTGCGACAGGGTGGCCAGATTGTGCATTAATATCCCGTTTTACCCTCCTGGTCCCAGTGGAGTAAGTTCCGCCAACTGTTGAAGTATACTCTACTATACTCTATAAGACTATTCGTCACATTTTTCCCAAAATCATTGCACAACACTTGAAAAAACGCAAATGAAAATTTAAAATTATTTCCTTGACGCCGCAATATAGCTCCGTCGGTACCTTGGGTTATACATCTTGACAGTAGGGATGTTCGATACGATCCTATATTTAGAAGTATCAATATATTTCATGAGTATCGTCATCTTTCGATCCGAACTGTGTCAGAAAGAGTGACTGCCATTTGGCTGCGACATTACCCTGCCAAATCAGACATATCTTTCATCATTTTCAAAGAAATTGTACAAAATCTTCAAATTTGTGAAGTAAGCGAGATCCACTTCATACGTTGGTACCAGACATGCCCAAGTCATCAGTTGCTGCCGAGATATTCATCCCGACCACTGCATCCCCACGGCTAGGCGACCTGTATGTTAAATTTGTATTGATAGGGCAGCGGGTTATGCTATAAATCATATGTCACAGTGTTTGTGCACTGATTGCAACGGTTAGATGATACCAAAAGTATTTTCATAAATAGGAGATATTTCCCATTCCGGATCGAACAATCTACACATGTATGTGTATGTATGTGTGTATATATTTACTCGTATATGCGTACCTATTATTTTTTTTCTATTTTTATTGTACTTACTTCTTTTACACCTTAATCTGTTTATTATTATTGTATCTGTTGTTTTCTCGAGTAAACTGTGTTTTTTTCCATTTTTAACCGACAAATTTATGTATTTATACTTAACTATATTTTTAATTTTTGTAGATAATAATGTACTCATAGAGATATGCCTGACGAGTCTTATATCATTTTTATGATCCGAAGACAATAAAGCATCTATCTATCTATCTATCTATCTATCTACCAAAGATGCTTATAATCATGATACCTAGTAAATTTTCACGAAAAAAAAAATCAAAACCAGCAAATGTAAAAGATTCATTTCGCACCCTCTACCAAGGGACGTGATCGTCGTTAGACCCTGCGAGTGTCAGATAGATATCCCCGCCAGTCAAAAAAGAAAAATATACAAACAATAAACATTACTAGTTTTTTGATTTTTGGACTTAAAGGCCATTATCTGTGAAACAGTTTTCGTATTTTTTTCTCTATGTCCATAGTAATTGCATTATGCATCAGGGAGATGTAGGGATTGACACGTCTTAAACATATTATCCGTGTTTTAGGATGGAGAATGTTTTTATTGCTTTGAAGAAATTAATTATCCCATAAATTAATAAATGGGTACTATTATGACGTAAAGGAAGATGAGGAATTGGATGGAATGTATTTTATATTCTATTTTCTTTCAAAATACAGACAAATCCACACTATTCAATAGGTATGTAATGATAACTTTCAGTGTATTGAAGTTGGTAAATTCAAGAGTGCCATGCATTAACAAACGTCCAAATCTGCTGCCAAATTTAACAGCTAGAAAGTCGACATATTATTTGCCGCATTCCCATTCGCTGAGGGGGATAACGGATTATTAAACATAAATCTATAACATATGTCAAAATACATGAAAGCTGTCCTATTTTTTCTGTACAAAAGCATCATGTTGGAATCAAAAAGTGGTCTTGTTTATAATCCAGTCGAATTTTCACGATTTGATTCAATATTTCAATAGAAATCACCAATATTCAGAGACCTTTGACAGCTTCCGTCAAATTGCATTTCGATAAGGTATTTTTCGATTGGTCCATAATATTATGTGTGATATGCAAAAAGGTGAGTGGGTTCTCAGAAGTAGCGACTCCATATTGTAGCGAGTAACTACTCCTGTTTGGGAGAGCCTACTCGGTTGTGATATGCATAAAATATTTGTCGAGAAACGGAGAGGCTACTCAAGTGCTAATGAAATAGTTGAGTAGGCACTCTGGTTTTCGAGTTCCGACTTGTATTTTGTTGTCTCGCCGAATTGGCAATTTCTCTATTGCGACCAGTTACTACTGTATACCGGTAAACGTTTGTGTCGGTGGTATTTAGGTCGATTATTATTTGTTCGTTTACATGATGTTAACCTATTCTAAAGACCATTCATCTGAAAATCAAACCGTATTTGATAATATAATTAAACACTATCCTGTTTTGTTGGAAAAATCTAACATCCCGGAAATCAAAAATAAACGACGTAAGGCGGTTGAAGAAATAAAAGAAAAGGTAGAAGCCGAATTAGGAGTTAGATATAATGAAGGGCAGAGTTGGAAGAAGATTCAAAACATAAAAACCAGATTAAAAGCGAAGACAGACAGAAATCAAACCGGAAACAAACTAATAAAATTGAAAGGATGGGAACATGAACTGTTCAATTTTCTACAAGGAGAATCAAATCCTAGTATTGCTCGGTTGCAATGTTAGTTGTATTTTTTTGTTTTTCCATACAGTAGGTATAAGATGTGATTGAGTATAATATATATACATGTCAATAAATATAAATAGCATACATTTTAAATTTTAGGTGCTGTAGTGGCAGGTTGCCTACAAAGAAGCGTTGATTACACTCCAACAGCCTGTGCTGAAGAAGAAACAATAACGGACGAAGCATCTGGAAGTTCAGGGCCAGTACTGAAAGCTACCACAATGAAAGCCGGACCCAGTAAAGAGCATTCTAAAGAAAAGGAAAACGAGGATTACTGGAAACCGATGAAACACGATATTTATCAATAACAGAGCTCCAACGTCTCGTTTTACTTGAACAACTACAAGTGTTTCGGCTAGCTAAGGAACTGCTACTTCACAAGAAAAATATTAATGAATCTGATCCAAATTTATCAACTTTAAATGAAAGTGCAGAAACTGGAAATCCAATTTTCATGAGCCTATTTCCAGGACAGAACTGACAGAAATACTTCATATTTCATAAATGTTATTTTTTATTAATTTTAAGAACTTTCTCTTAAGTTACCATTTTGAAAGTGTTATTAATTTTGTTATGAGTAATTAAACATCGTTCTTTAACGTATATCTACATAATTTGTAAATTTGGATCATGCTAGATACTTACTTAGAACCGAAAGCCATGAATAATTCTTGATATTGCATCTCTTCTAAATTGGCCTCTCTGACGTCTCACTCCATCTGCAAGTCAGCAGCATGTTGATTATGGATTTCCTCTTGTTCGCCATCTCCCGGTATATCAACAGCAAAATCTTCATCGTTAAGGTGCTTAGCCACATTATGCAAGATAAAGCAACTCATGACAAGGGAGGGCACTTTCTGTATCGACGCGTATTTTGTTATGTAGAATGGGAAGCCGCCTCTATTATAACTCGCTCTCTCGTAAACAGCCGATTGTATGATCCTTGTTCTGCTGTTTCTGCAATCCTAAAAGGAGTCATGAGCCAAGGAGCTATACCATACCCAGAGTCTCCCAACAAAACAGCACTAGCCCTATTCCATTTCATAACGTTGTATATATCAGACTTCTTCCATATCTGAGAGTGGTGTACAGATCCTGGCCAAGAAACATCCACACTTGTGAACTCTTCGTTTGAATTGAACGTTGCTTGTACATTTATACTAGCAAAGTTCTTTCTGTTCACATATTCGTCTGCATGAATAAACGGCTTCAGAATAGGTATATGGGTGCAGTCGATAGCACCAATAGCTGAAGGAAAATTGAACTTTTCTTGCCACTTATTTTTAGGATTGTGTAGATCTTCACATGAGGTTGGGAATCTAATCCAAATATTCGACTTCTGCACAATGCGTGTTATAACGTGGGTAGCGGTTAGGGATACCGTAGATTGATGGACACCAATATCTTCTCCTATCCAATTTGAAATCCTGGATCACCCACATATCGTAAAAAAAAACAAATTCTTTCTATATTGCTCAAAGCACCGCCCCTATATTCTTCTGTCTCTCCAAGAAAATGGTTACTTGTCCACTCAACATTAACTTTACTAAGCCGATATAAGGCCCGATAGTCTACTTCCCTTGATTCCCTACGATCTTTAAACACCTTCGTAGGCTGATAAATAGGCATAAATTCGGCCATTTCGAGAAGACATCCACTTCTTATAAAGCTGAGTCTACTACTAAGGTATCTTGCATTTCTTTAAGTATGTACTCAGCGGTCGGAGTGGACGCTCGCTTTTATGCATATAAAGTTAAAGTCGGCACTCAAGGAGCGACACAGCCTCATGGAAAGAGTAGAAACTTATGAGTGTGAGCTTCGACTTAAATTTTTATGCATATCAAATGGAGTGGCTACTTTAAAAATGCGAGTCAAAAGTAGCCTCTCGCCTTTACGCATATCACCCAATCATTACCATACACTTGAGTCAACATATGATACGTTTCGGTAAAAGTTTTACCAAGTTTAACACGGAACTTAATATTGGCGCTTTGTTCGATGCTCATTTTTCGACCGATGCCAAAAAGGTCCCATCACTTTGAGCGCGATAACTCGGCGTGAAGTGGTCTGATTGTCATGAAATCTTGACATGGTATCAATGAAAGATGTACCTATCCAATGCTTGTCTCTGATAATAGATGGGGCTAGTTGTTTTGGATATCTTTCAAAAGTCCTGTTTACTTTGCGCCAGCCTTTGAATACAGTGTGTCCCAGAAGTCGACGTCAAGCCGAAACCGGGTGATAGGCAAAGTCATAACAGCTATCAGAAAAATATTTAAAAAATGTTATGTATGTGTTTTGAAAATTATAGGTCTTTGAAAAAAATATAGAAGTTTCACACCCTACGTCAGTCTGTCAACTCCTGTTACCACAAATATTAACTTTTTTTGGATTTTATTTTTATAATGTAATGATGAATAATGCATCTTCAAACTGGTGTCTCAACCTTACTGCCAACTTTTCTCGTTCAGGAAAAATTGCCACTTATTTCCCAACCAAGTATTCCAAAGTAAAACTTTGCTCAACTTTAACTGGCTGTACTGGAAAAAAATGTACTACGAGAGTTTGGCAAGTAACCTTAAAAGTTGGCGCATTTAATAAGGATTCCAAAATGGTATAAAACTTAGAAGATTACTCGTTAACTTATGCACAATTTTTATTTGAAGAAAAACTGATGAAAATTTTTCAAAATTTCCTAATTAAACAGCGATTATCAAAACGCTCAGCTACATTTTGAATCGGCTTGAAATACACTTTTTCTTTTACAGTTCCCCAGTAAAAAAAATCTAACCGATTCAAATCTGGTGACCGGGCTGGCCACGGTATTGTACCAGACCGCCCCATCCATCTGCCTGAAAAGTTTTTATCGAGATACTCTCTCACTGAGAGTGCATAGTGCGCTGGGCAGCCATCATGCTGAAACCACATGTCCCTGTAAATACTCAGTGGCACTTCCTCCAATAAATTTTCAAAATGATTTTGCAAAAAACCTAAATAAACCTCAGCAGTCAAAGTCTCTGGGAACTCAAACGGACCGATTATTTTACCATTTAAAATTCCTGTCCAGTGGTTTATCTTGAAGCGATATTGAGATTTATCTTCTCTCATCAAATGTGGGTTTGCTACGTGCCACTCGTGTAACTTATGCAGGTTCATGTACCCATCTTTCTCAAATGTGGTCTCATCTGACCATAAAATTTTTTCAAAGAACCGTGGATCTTCCCTGTGTCTTTCTAACATTGTGCGACAAAAAGCAACTCGGGGCTCATAATCCCGGGGCAGAAGAGCTTGAACACGCTGTACGTGGTATGGATGGAGCACGTTTTTTTGCAAGATTCTATGGTCTGTACTTTTGGGCACACCTGTTTTTAGTTCTATTGCACGCACTGAAGTACTCGGGTCTTCTTCGACAGCTCCTAGCACCACGTTTTCGTAAGGAAGGAAAGATCTTCCCTCACCAAGTGATTGGTTTGGTAGTTGGCCCTCTGAGAACAGTAAGCGGTGCACAGTTGTGAACACTCGATGATCTGGATGACGAGCTGCATTCGGGTACCTCTCACAGTAAAGTCTCGCTGCAGCACTAGCGTTGCATCTGCATTCCCCATAAATGAGGTGCATGTTAGCATATTCTTGTACGGTGTACACGGACATAGCGGCACTGCACAATCACACTATCAAAGATAGTCTAAGGAAAGCAAATGTTGTTTTGAAGAGCAATTAAACAGTCCAAATCCAAATCACAAGCGATCAACAGTCCAGTTCACGAATCCAAAATTAGTAACAGTACGAAATCAACAAGCACGAACATGTAAAGATGCGCAGTAAACGAAGGAGTACTGATCGGTATCAAAGTGTGCAATAGCAAGTAAGTGATGTGCTTCATCCATACCACATACAGCGTGTTCAACCTATCCTGCCCCGGGATTATGAGCCCCGAGTTGCGTTTTGTCGCACAATGTTAGAAAGACACAGGAAAGATCCACAGTTCTTTGAAAAAATTTTATGGTCGGATGAGACCACATTTAAGAAAGATGTGTACATGAACCTGCATAACTTACACGAGTGGCACGTAGCAAACCCACATTTGATGAGAGAAGATAAATCTCAATATCGCTTCAAGATAAACCATTGGACAGGAATTTTAAATGGTAAAATAATCGGTCCGTTTGAGTTCCCAGAGACTTTGACTGCTGAAGTTTATTTGGATTTTTTGAAAAACCATGTACAAAATTTATTGGTGGACGTGCCACTGAGTATTTATAGGGACATGTGGTTTCAGCATGATGGCTGCCCAGCGCACTATGCACTCTCAGTGAGAGAGTATCTCGATCAAAACTTTCCAGGCAGATGGATAAGGCGGTCTGGTACAATACCGTGGCCAGCCCGATCAAATGATTTGGAATCATTATTAAATGCGCCAACTTTTAAGGTTACTTGCCAAACTCTCGTAGTACATTTTTTTTCAGTACAGCCAGTTAAAGTCGAGCAAAGTTTTACTTTGGAATACTTGGTTGGGAAATAAGCGGCAATTTTTCCTGAACAAGAAAAGTTGGCAGTAAGGTTGAGACACCAGTTTGAAGATGCATTATTCATCATTACATTGTAAAAATAAAATCCAAAAAAAGTTAATATTTGTAGTAACAGGAATTGACAGACTGCCGTAGGGTGTGAAATTTCTATATCTTCTTCAAAGACCTATAATTTTCAAAACACATACATGAAATCTTTTTAAATATTTTTCTGATGGCTGTTATGACTTTGCCTATCACCCGGTTTCGGCTTGACGTCGACTTCTGGGACACCCTGTATAAACAGATAGACAGACAAACAGAAAGACAGACCCGCGAAAAAGGGCCATATTGTTTTTTGTGATGTACGGCACGTATCATAAAAACATAGCACCGCAGATTAGAAATATTTCGTTATTATAATACGTCCTCGCCCATTGGATTGGGAAATCAAAATACACATTTGGAAAATATTAATTTGAATTAAACAAACCCACTGTATTTTCTGTCACTATACTGGATACCATGTTTGTCAGAGTGGAAGTTGTCGGCCACTTGAATTAGAGCAGGCAACAATTCTACATATGTTACATTTTTATTTTCAAACTAGATGGTTGGTGATAAGTAACACAAACACGGTTATTTCGTTTGGACAACAAGCAAGTGCAACTGGCTGGCAGGTTTCTTAGAAGATGACTTACTATGCAGTGCTGTTCAGAAAAGTTCCCCCTAATTTATTTTTCGAACGGGACAAGTCCTCAAGCTGGACACGATGCTGTATTTTTAAGGCCTAATGACTATTATGCTAAAAGCCTATAAAACTTCACAAAAAAAACCTATATAGTGTCATCTTGCAGACTAGGTAGTTCTTAGGGTGCAAACAGTCATTCCACGTTTGCTCACTAGGATCGTTGTAAACGTCCATCTATAGAGGATTGACTCAACTACACGCATTTTTGGTTGCATATGTTTGGTGAAGCTGA